GCCGTGGGTACCCATGGGTACCCACGCCCCATGGGTACCCATGGGTACCCACGGCCACCCACGGCCCACGGGGGACCGTAATGGCTTTCACCACCACGGGGATCACAACGGGTACCAAGATTAAGCGTACTCTATAACATCGATTAAGCGGGATCGACGAAGGCGCGGCCGCAGCGAGGTGGTACACCCAAGGTTCCGTGGGAGGCTCACAGCACAGCAGTTAGTGAGTCCAGCATTATTCCAGCTCGGCGCAAGAATGTAAAGAAAGAAAGGAAGGTATCTAAAGCTTGGTGTGGGCGTGGAGGAAAGCGCGTCAGTGTGGCCTCACCCAGATCCACGGCGCTAGGCTCACCCAGATCCACGGCGCGACGCTGAGGGCGTTGTCGCATCTCCCGTGTTTCGTACAGTGCACACGCACGCCGATCGTCACGGAACCGCAATAACGTTGGTTGCGCATGGTACCACACCTCCTTGCAGTGGTTTTCGAAGCACGATTACTCTCCAGCAATAGCACTCTGTGACGGTGCCGATTATGGCGGCGTTGGAGCGTTCTTGTCTAGGGCTATCCGAAAATGCGATCCTTGATCTCGGGATCCTCTTTCAGTCGTGAGGAAATCGAGCTCTGAGAATCGGTGGAATGGGGTGTGGTATATTGCGTCACCTACGAGTATACTCACCCGGAGGCGATGGCAGGAAACGCACGAGGCCGTCCCAGAGAAACACCCTGGCGACTTGAAGGCTTTCAAATCCTTCACTGATCTCTTTGTGTGTTTCGACGTATTGGCTCTCCAGCTCTCCCGCATACAAACAAACCTTGACCAAAGATGGTAAACCGTTGCGGTTGCAAGAGCTGTTGCTCTCGCACCTCTGCCCCACCAGCCGGGAGGGAACCACTATCCTGGCCGGCGTAAGACTTCCGGCAAGACAAAAAGACCCAACCCCCAATACACACCCATCTCCAGCCTCAACACCTCTTCCCCTCTCTCGGTTCCTCTCGATTGCCTTACCCCTCCCACACACCATCTAGTCTATCCGTCCATCGCCTATGTTGCTCACCCGGCCGAATTCGTCGTGGGGCAAGGTCTTGTGGAACTCTCCGGCCCGATCTGCCTCCCCGTTGTTCGCGTGGCACGCAGCCGGTGGTGCCTCCGCTTCTCCCCGTCGCCCCCTCTGCCGCTCTCTCAACGCCATGTCCTTTCTGGCTCTGTAGACTTGCCGCCGTCTCGCGCTAGGCTGTTGTTTACGAAGCGTAAGCGGGGGAGTGGCGGGGGGTGTTGTCCGCTGGCGGCTCGACAACATTGCGTGGTGTGCATATGTGGGTGTACCGAGCGAGGGGGGAGGCGAAACCATAAAGCGGATGGTTCTGCACTTGACCTATATCCTTTGCTTTGACATGTCCACCGTTTCAAAGCTTCAAGAACTCTCCAGTTGGTTCCAAACCAACAGCCGCGACGTACATGCCAATAGCCGAAATTGCGACCAGTCCCGAAATTACAAAAAAGAATGCACACACCTTGGTGGGGTCCAATGCATCATCCCATTGGCATGCGGCGTCTTCATCAACTCCCGCATGCTGCTGCTGCTGCCGTCCTCGCTATCGGTCCTTCTTCGCCTTGTGACCTGGAACGGCACTTCCTCCTGTCGGGGATCAAAGCTTCTGTCTTCTCTTACATCGTGCAAGAATGCCAATGGTCTCTGCAGCGTGGTTTTTCGGTCTCGAAAACATCTGCCTGTGACACACGTCCTGACCCTGGTGCCTTTGAATTACTCCTGTTCTTCAGACGTTTTCACTCCCCCCGCGATGACTTACCGCCTGTCACGTGCCAAAGCAGCGGTTCTCCTTCAACCGTAACAAATGGAACTGCCAACGGGGAACGAGGAGAGGAGCGACCGAGCGATGCGCGCGCTCCAGGTAGCGGTCGTTGCCGCCTTCATCAACGACGAGGACTGTCGGAGTGCGCAGGCGTCGGGCCTCCAGGTCTGCAACACTTGTCGCGAGGCTGTTCACGCGCCATGCATAAGGGTTGGCCCTGAGGCTCCCTCACCCTGTTGGCGATGGTTTTCCCGGACCCAAGCGCTTTTGTTGCTCCCAGCACATCTTCACCCTCGAGGGTCGAGGCTCACCGACGGGTTTGGAAGGTGGAGTTGACGTATCCGGACACCCCATCGCCTCGGGGAACAGGGTCGGGTGCCGGCGGAGAGGAAGAGGTTGAGAAGGACGGAGAAATTGAACAGGACTCCGGCCCTCCAACTACCGCCGCCGACATCATGAACCGTGGCGACGCCATCTGCGCAGTCCATTGGCCTTCCGGCACCACGGAGATATGCCTGCGGTTCTTCGACCGTTCAATCGAACGTGCCCTGTGCCCAGATGGCCTGGAACGGCTGTCGTTCGGCCAGGTTCCGACTGGGTCTCCGGCTGAGCGTCGTTCTCGTCCCTTGACCCCTGACGTGGAGTGGGTTGGAGGCACGTTCAACCAACCACTAGACGGCGCCGGATTCTCCCCTGGCATGCAAGAAATGTATCTCGGGAGTTGCTTCAACCAGCCCATTGACAGTGTCGAGTGGCCCGCAGCCCTGGTTCTGCTCTCCCTACCCCGCTTCAACCACTCGATTCAGGGCGTAGGGTGGCCGGAGCGCCTGAAAACGCTCGAGTTCATGCCCAAACATGAGATCCTTCGCCGGCAAGACGAAAGCACCTGCCTGAGCGACATGGTAACCGAGGAGCTCGGGTTCAATCAACCTATTGGCACAGGTCTTTCCGCCGAGTGTCGAGACTCTGTGGTTTTCGGACGCTTGCTGTCAGCTCCTTACGAACGTGACGTGGCCGAGCGGGCTTTCCACCATCGGGGTCGGAGAAGGTTTTCCCATGGCGCAGTGCGTGTGGCCGGAAAGCCTTCGCCAGCTGCACTTAGTGTACGAACCACTTTGGGACGACGACTCCGTCCCAGACGGATGTAAACTGAACGTGGTCGAGTGGGAGCCAATCGACTGGAGAAAATTCATGAGCGCCGTGGAGGATCTTGCCCGTGTGCCCTTCGACATGTTGGACGTGTTGATGCGTTAGAAAACGCCAAAGGAGGCGTGTGCTGCGGGCGCTTTTCCTCGAGGCGAACAACCTTCGGAGCAGAAGTGGTACATGTATGACTTTGGCCAAGTACAACATATTCAGCAGTTTACGTGGTTAGACATCCGCTGGGGGAGGGTTATTTGAAAATTGAAGTGGCGGGATCCGCTGAGTCTCTCTCGTTGTTGGGGCCGATATTGAACTACAGCGGGGTGGGGATATTTTTCTTCTGGGAAATATTTTTTACGACGTTTACCCATACCCACTTGCAAGTAGCGATAGGCATCCCGAGAGGATGTCGAGAGGCTGTCGAGAGGCTGTCGATGAATTGCTGGCCATTATCGGCAACATCGCGTGGGTACATTGTACGTGTGGTGGCCTGGCAGAGCGGTCCCTGGGAGCTTAGTCTAGATGGCGCGCTTTGCAAGTGCCTGTGGAGAAAGGTGCTTGTTGAGAAAGACAATGCGGAGTCTGCTAGTGGTTGTTTGGAGAGGTCGGCTATTTCAAGGGGTATGGACGTTATGTAAGACTCGAGAGCATTGATGTAGTCTCAAGTACATAAAGTTAGACTACTGTGGCAAGTCACTTTTCGTTATCATAAATTGCCTTCTTGTTGCGTGAGTGGGAAAAATCCCTTTCATTGACATTGATTGCCGCCTGCTTCAGAATTTAGGCTTGTGAAAGAGCTGCTTGGTGCCGCCCATGTCCCACTTGAGAGAGAAGCAGAGAAAGCATCGGGGAAACCTCCCGCTCTGTGCACGACACGGTGCAGTCAGACATCTCGTCCGTCGAAAACTCCTGGGGGGCTAAGAATAGAAGCGATATATATATAAACGTTTTGTTGGGATATCCGAAGAATTCCTATTCGTTCGGGAAAGAGCACGCTTGTCCACGGCCGGGGATCGAATTGAGCTTCGAAACGTTGATACCTACTTTCCGCCCGCAGTTTACTGCGCTCTCTGTCGGGATCATCAACCTCGAGGGAAAGCCCCACCTACAGTAGAGCCGACGCGTTTTGGGTGACAACTGAAGAACAACCGGGCAGTGCCAATGAATCTCGGACCGTTTGAACGAGTATCGCATGCTTGCCACTGGCCCCGAAAATCATGACCGATCCGTCCAACTCTGTCTGTTAAGGGTGCGCGCCGCCTTTTTCGGCGGCGTGTGGTCGCCCAGTTGTGCAAGACTTGTGCGGCGGGGACCTCGTTATCATCCTGCCGATGGTTTCTTGCTGAAGGCAGCTGTTCGTAACATGTAAGTCAACTCCACGCAATCCCGTTCACATGAATAGTGTTGGGGTATTTCTTCGTGTCCCACTGCAAAGTCACCAAACTGTTTTTTTTCAACGAGAGATTCCTCCATTGGCAACATTTTGTCCGTAGGTGCTGTGGAAATTTGGTACCAAGAGAGCCAAGAGAGGAAGAGACGGAGTAGTATCCTTGTGGGTGGTCTGTGGTGCTGTCGTCAGTGGGTTTCATGGCGTGTATGGCCCCGGTTTTCCCCTAGAGGCTCCAAGATCTCTGTTGTGAGAATTCCATTCTGCCGGCCGTAACGTTAGTGAAAACTCTTTAAAACGAACGGTCGGCCGCCCCCCACCTGATCAAGATCTCGTAGCGATGACAATTGAATCACTTTCACATTGGTCGGGGTACCGCGGTGGAGAGTGGCGTCGAGACATGCCCCACATACGCCCAACACGTTGTTATACAAAACCTAAGGTAAAGTGGGGAGAAACACAAGTTCGTTGCGAACACCCGTTACCTCCAATTCACACGCTGAACCTCATGCAGATACCGCACAGAGGTATCGGACAAAAACAGCTTCCGAGGCGTTTCGGAGTTCGCAGTCCTTGCATGTACCCGTGGGTTTCAGCCACCTGCGAAAAGCTACAAGGATCGTACGGCGCACTGCCATAAAATGTAGCTGACAAAGTTTATGGGATTGTGCTTTTGGTCATGGGGCATATTTGTTGTTGTGAACGATGTCTCAACACTTAACTGCGTTGGAAGCTGAACCTGCGCTGAGAACGCCAGAACAAAATTGTTCGCCGCGAAGCAATGTGAACGAACGACCTTGATGCGCGTATACACATTTATTAGACGCAAATCGTGATGGTGATGTGGGACTCCCTCGATAATCCACATCGTGGTGCCGATGTATTGGTCGCCAATATATGAATGGTGGCAACACGCAGGTCCGCTCACCCAGGCATCATCTGGGGTGCTTATGTCCGGCACCACTCCTCTGTTCTGCAGGAATGCTCATGCGCATAGGACCTTTTACGCCCAATCGTCTTAAGGAGCGTTGGATGTCCAACGAACGAAGAAGCCTCTCGGCCTCATTCACTCTCGAGGATCAATAAAAATCCGTAGACTCTATTTTGCAGACAGGACTTTTTCCTGCTCGTGATGTGTGGCTCTGGCCACAGACGCAGACTGTTTACATCTGTTTGCGTCTAGTGTGCCTTCTTGTTTTCATTTTCCGATCTAATGCATCGTAGACTGTTGTAGTCTACCGCTGTACCAATATTGTGGCGGTTTTTCCACACCTCGCCGTTGGTTGCCCCTCAGTGATGAAAAGTAGGGCAAACACTCATCCATGATTCATGTGTTGGGTGCAAAGTGATTGCTGTGACGAATAGCTGAGATGTACGTGATATTGCACCCGTAACAGGCTGATAGATTTCATACTAATATTCATTTCCTCAGCACACCGCGCCGCTGCTGAATGTAGGAATACCCTGGACCGATCAGAAACGAATGAGTTGGTTTCGTCATCAACACAAAATCGATTTGGCGACAATGGCATCAATGATTTGCCATTATTGCTTCCATACTGAATATCACATGATGAATGAATGTGAACATCTGTAAATTCCAAAGGGTCTATAGAGTATTAACATACAAAATTTTGGTGGTATGGATTGCCACGCGTCCCGTCAATATATTCACGGAACACATCAGGATGAGGTCCGCACACGTAGCAATCCCTGAAGACCCTGATGATGACCCACACGTAGTAGTTTCTTGTTCGCTCGATTATCTCTTGACACAGCACGTTCGCGCGCGGGCCTCTCGTAGGGCTTTGCAGTCCCAGATCAATTTTTCTCGCCTAGAACTACGTTCAGATCTATCTTATATATAGTCAATGGTGGCATTATTGCCACTATATCGGGAAAAAAAGCTTTGATGCTTCCGCTACGGACAGTTGTTCCTGGATCTTCACTCGTGTGAATGCGTTATACATTTAGGGTCCGCCCTCTTTGGTTGCGTGCACTGGTCCAGTATCCGCGTGAAACCAAACGCAGGCGTCTGCCCATCACGTGTGCGTTTACACTTGATCGTCTTGTGACAACGAGGCCTTTGGCGATCGCACCCTACCTTTGCCTTTGTGTGCAGGCAGACTGCACAAAGTGCCACTATCTTGTTTTGTTTTGTCTGGCCATCCATGATGGGGTTCAACGCAAGCAAAACACGCATCCATGTTGAAGCATCAATGTACGTACGCGAAACCAACTGGAGCAACCTAGTTCAACACGCCGAACACTCCCTCCTCCGGCGCATCAATCCCAACCGCCACGATGCTTTTGCACCTGTAGGCGTCAACCGACCAATCAATACCACTACACTATGGCCAACCGCGTGACGGTCTAGCGGCGCGTGCTGCGAAGAATGCCATTTTTGCCTTACGGAGGAAATGCCTGGCCTCGCCAATGTCACACGACTCCGCGTACTCTTCTAGAGGACCAAAAATCCCAGACAGTTGCGCGAACCATGGCGGCGCCTTAATCCCTCCACCTCTCTCACTCTAAGAATCTTCGGTGTTGTCTAGCTCTACCTCGTTGTCACAAAATGTGTCCTCTTTGACGTACATGTTGCCAACGTTATAAAACAAATCTCCCTTGCGTCTTTGGACAGAGCTTTGTTGTGAAAAACAGGGAGGCTCCGGCGGTTTGAATTGCCACTATTGGGGGGGTGAGATGCCCAAAATGCCACTTTTGAAGGCCCCGTCCTCAATACCACTATATCGGGTTGAGATTGTGACAAGAGATTTTGATGCCACTATTGAGGGCATTTCACTATTCAGGGTGCCACTATATCGGGACCACTACTGTACCCCATAGCACTAGCCCACCCTGGAGGTTGTATATGCACATACGTCAAACCCCGGCTATAACTAAGTCTTGGCACAGCAGCAGCAGGTGCGTGGCGCGACCAAAACGTATCTCATTCACTCCGCGGGTGTGAGTTGAAACCGTCAGCACAAGAAGACAGTAGATGCACATCATTGAAGAGGGTGACGAATGGTGTTGCTGCCGCATACGTTGCTCGTTCATGCGAATGGTACATAGTAATTCCTGCTGCAAGGAACGATAAAAAGGCGTGCTCGGGTTTCATAGTAGAAGCAGGCTTTTCGTGTTGGGTCGGTGCGTTGTGCTGCATATCAAATCTATGAAATCGAAAATGAATTCGAATCTTCGCATTGCTTTCTTGGGGAAAACAAGAGATTTGGCAGACGCGGTGTCCAAACCGCCACGACTGAGGAGACATGAACCCAATCGATAAAGAGCACGCTCTACCTGGCACGCACTTTGCACAAGTCTCAATCAATGTAGTGACCCCAAGGCTGCGGTATTGTGTGAAATTGGACAAAGCGAGCGTGGAGGGGGTACGCGGCTGTACTTCTTCGGTGGTGTGGGGGGGTGACAAAACCACAACACATTAACCCACCGCACAGCAGCCAACAGCACTTAGCAGTGCATATACACCGCAGCGGAGATCGATGCGAGGGGCAGAGTACTTCGTTCTTATACTAGCACTCCTACTATCTCCGCAGCAAGGGCAGTGCTTTCGAATCCCAAGCAGCCTCAGGCGCCGAGAATGCACTTGGAAACGCAGGAGCAGCGAGGATGTTCATGATCAAGGTGCCACTGCGTACATACATCCCACGTGTATCTCGTGCACAGCAACTGACTGACGGTAGTAATTCGTTAAGCAGCCCGCCGCGCACTCTTGTGTGTTGACGACCTTTAAACAGTTGGCAAGAGGAGCTGTGATATGGCCTTCTAGTCACCACCGATCGCTTTCAGCGTGGAAGTACATGCCTCGTTTGAGGGCGCGGCGTTTGTGGTTTTTGAATTGAAGGCCGCTCTGCGCACTGCGATCGCACCCTGGACGCACAGCCGCTGTATGTAGCGGTAATTATGTTGCAGGCGTGTCCATAAGGCGGCGTTTGCTTGCACAGCACACACGGATAAGCGTGCACATCATTTCGTCTGAAACCTCACTGCCTGAAGGTAGAGAATGGATAGCGGCTGGGTCACTGCTGAAGGCCTCGTTACGCAGTATAACACCCCCCCCGCGCGCATCCGTCATGAACCTCCGCTCGCTCCGAGCGAACACTTTTATAGTCAAGTCACAACCCCGGGTGGCACCATCTTTCGTGTATGGGACAATGACCAAGCCAAGACATTGGAGGGGCTTGTACTTCATCGACTGCCTTTTGATGGCTGGTCGCGATGATTTCAACTCAGCCTGAGCAGTCCGAATGTGCTGGGGTTTCACGAGATACCAGAGTTGTGCCACCGCTATCACCGATGATGCATGCCTCGGAAAGAATACCGTCCGTGGTTTATGCTCAATTTTTTCGAACGCAGAACAAAAACACAGACCACCACGATCCCGTTGCCCGCCGCCTGCCCCCCGCTACCTCGAACGCCGAAAAGGATCTTCGCCGCCGCCTCCTCCTCCTCCTCGTGGCCGACACAAACAGCCGCAACCCGTTCCGCGTCGTACAGACAATTCCCAAGACCTAGTTTCATCGCAGGCGTCGCCCGCGACAAGGCGAGAGCTAGTGTCTAGAGCCCGGCTGCTGGGAGCGGTCGGCGTCGGAGCAACTCTTGCTCGACCACTGCAAGCGGCCGTCGGAGCACCACCACCACAATCACCACCGGCTGCGCCGGGATTCTCGAGCGTTCTAGTCCGAGATGACGCTCACGCGCGATTAGAAGACGATGGGGTGGGACACATCAGCACTCCTAGCGGTGGTTCAGGGTTGGTGCTTCCCGCTGTCGCCGCGAGCACGAAACGGATCTTCCTGGCCAGACACGGACAGGTGCGATCCCCTACGCCAGCCGCCACGGCTACCTGAACGGGTGTGGAGGTGGGTGGCACGTTTTGGCTCCGTGCCTCGCAACGCCGTGTTGGTCGAATGGTGAAGGGGCTCCTCGAGGTCGGGCCGCACGCGCATGTTGTCTACGGGCCTCGGACGTGAGGATGTGGGTCCACAAACAAACCCTGGGTCAAAACAGAATGTAGGACAATCCCGCCGCCCTTCATGTAACTGCACTCTTTTCGACCGACTGCTGGTAGTTTGTGTGCAGTGGTTGAAGAGTCTTTCGTGCACTGATCCGTAAAGACCTTCATCGCCCAGAGCAAGTCCCGCAGCTTGCCTGCATTGATATTTTGCCTTGTTTTCCCTCTTGGCTTGTATTCCAAAGAACGAAGACCTCGCCAAGCAAGCGTTGCTGCGCCTCTGTGTGACTCCAAAGGATGGAGACAATATTGAGGAGCTGTAATTTGGATTAGCAAGGCGTCCGAAGTACTTCTGATCCGGACATGTGTCTTAAACAGGGTGGTTTACTGAAGTGTACCCCGTGCTCCTGGTGAAATTCCACGCGTGATACGTGCAGACAGACCTAAACAAGCTGGGAGTGTGCCAGGGACGGAAGCTGAACCCTCCGCTAAACGAAAACGGACGGCGTCAAGCGCGAACCCTGCTGATCGATGTAGAGCTGGATGCTATTCTGTGTAGCCCGCTCCGCCGCGCGAGAGAGACGGCCGGGATAGTACGAGAGAGGTATGAGCGTGAGACTTGTTGCGGGTCTATTTGCCTCTGTTCACCTTGGTACCTCGTGATCAAGTATTTGGGTGTCATTACTGCTGTAAGATACGTTGAGCCTAGCAACAATGCCGTTGTCCGTGTGGCATCTGTTCCAGAACGTACCTAGATTGTCCCTGACGCGGGCTGTACCGTTGAGCACAGCGACGGTCTCCCATTTCCGAAGTCTTCCTGCGTACGAAGAACTCCTTTGATCGATATTTGCGTATTTCCGATGCAGACGTCCTTGGCAAGCGCAAGTCAAGTACCCTTGTGAAGCCTGCTTCCTTCCCTAGATACTCTCCACTCCCCGCACCACCACCCTGTCCTTCCCGTCGCGCCCAAACCATTCTCCACCCCACACTCTCCTGGCCCATTCGCTTGGGACCCCTGCGTGGCGTGACGCGGCACAAACGTGATGCGGCGTAAACCCACCAACGTCAAATCAACCCTCAACCATCACCACCCCCACTCACCACACCACGACCACCACCACCGTCACTGACACCCCGACACGAAATACAGCCACCCCCTCGCCACCAGTTTTGCGGTGTCGGAGGATCTCAACGAGGTCGACTTCGGGGGGGCAGAGGGGCTCCCGCAGATGGCATCCGCCGCCATCCTCGCACCGTCCTACTTGGCGTGGTCCCATGGCAGGCTCGACAAGCGGGCCGGGGTTCTCGGGGAGAGCGGGGTGATGCTGAGGCGGAGGGGGGAGGCGGCGGCGGGGACGCTACTCGCATCGTGCAAGGAGGGCAGGCAGGTGGGGGGGCGTGTGGGTGTTCGGGTGTGAATGTTGAATTCGCCGGCATAGACTGCATTTTTTCGGATGGGTGTGAGTGTTGTTGTCTCTGTTGGATCGATCGCGTAAACCAGCTGACCAGTTGACACGCACCGTTGTTGGCACAGAACACCAAGTTGAACGTGATTTTTGGTCCTCGCTCCCCAGCGAGAGGGGGTCTGCTGAAGACGTTGGAAAGGATCCAAGCACTTGCTTGTAGAGAAACCCTACCTCACTGCGCAGCAACCTCAACTGCGAAGAAATTCCATCTGTGTTATGATAATATGGCCTGGTTGCACTGCCACTGGTTAATCTCTGTCCGACTTGTCTTTGCTCCAGAAATCTCCCGTGTTTCTTGGTGCATTTGTTTTCGGTCAGCGTCGATCGCGCCAACCGATCGACTGATCAAAGGATCTTTCAGTCTCAGCAGAGCAGAAACGAATATCCTCCCTCATCGAGCTAAAGAGACCGAGGAGAGCGGGCGAATGGTCCCGCCTCCAACTCCGAGCGTAGGCAGCACAACAATACATTTACAGTCCACAGGGGCGTACGCATATAACCTGGGACACCTTCTGCTGGGATACGCTTCCTTTCATGTCAAGTGCGCCAGCCATTGTGCCGGGTAGCTGTGCTTATTTCCAGTTTTGGTGTATGTATGCTCGTGTTTCGGTTGTTCCAGTGCTCCTTGACGATCTGTATGCAACCATGGTCCGTTGGTCTCCAGGTGTCGTTTTCATCGCCATTTGGGCTTGTGCTGCGGGCTGTAGCGTCCCCCAGCATGTCGCCGCCAAATGTTCGGCCATTGTCACAAACAAGCTTGCCAAAAGTCCCGCAACATGTAGCTTGAGTGAAGGGTATGGCGTTGTTTTGTACGAGCACGCCCTCTGTGCCTTTTGGATGGAAAATCAGACTCGAGAACAGGGAAACCGAGGGGCAGGAAGATGGTCGACGATACCTGCGTGGTATCGGGAGGCATCGCGTCGACAGCCACTTGAAAATTTCTTTGGCCTCTTCATATTTTGTCTCACACCTCGGTTTGGGAAAGCAAGGGCGGGTCCCCCTTTCCAAACGTGAGATGCGTTTCAAAAAGGGGGCTGACTGCGGTTCTTCATCGTGAGAAACATAACGCCAAAGTAACGGAGAACTTGTGTTTTTTCTTTCCCGACAACCCCCAATCAGGTGTTGGGGGTCTCACACTCCTCCATGATCAAGTTCACGTTGGCGGCGCTACTCGACGTGCCCCTGAGCACCATCCGAGCCCTGGGCCAAGACAACTGCGCCGTCAACGCCCTAGACTTCGACACAGCATCCGGCGTGTTTGAGGCGGTGGCAATAAACGGCCGTCCCGTTCGAGGAAGGGCCGAAAGCTTCGGCCGCGTTGGCCCTGAAACGTGCTGACGGCACAAGGATCCATCCACGACTTCGTCCATCTTTCCCTCCGATGTTCCTGGTGCGTGGAAGCGATATGCTCGAGAAACGACCCACTGACCGATATCGTCACCTCATTAAACCATGGGCTGGGTCTTGCCTGTCTTTCGTGAAAACACGTGTGGTACATACGGTGCACAAGAGACGAGCGCCCGTGTAGTGGTGGGAGAACGCGGAAAGCTGAAATACCGCGGATTGAATTTTGTCAGACACCGCTGAAAGAAGTGAGAAGCAGTAGGACTTCCACGGATTTGTGCGGAAATCCTCGAATATTCCGGAAAACCATGCAATGCCATGAAGCACTCTATGGCTCCCCAAGAGGGAACCCCAGCAAATTTTGCGTGCCCCTTGTTTGGGCGACCTTGAGGGCGAGTGTTAGGCTGAGGGGTAAGTTCGGGTTGAGTCGGGTCACCGTGTGTCCAAGATAGGTGGTAGCTGTTTTGAATAGGTGGTTCCACTGTTGTGGACAGACTGTGACGGGGTATGGGTATCGTGGATGATGCAACAGGGGCTTGGGGAGGCACCCGGCCACCAGCTCAAGAGTTTCGTGTTTCACTCGCTCGTTTTAGCATGCCAGGTTGGAATTGCGTTTGGTGCGACGCATGCACGAAAGAAATAGTGGAGCAAGTATATATTCAATCTACAGCACACAATCGTCTTCTTTTGCTGTCAACCGGTAAGAACATGGTATCCACCACATATACAGCACTGCTGTGCACAACAAGGAGGAAGAGCACTTCAGCTTCTCAGACCAATCTCCGTGGAATTTTCATTCAACTCCCCCACCCCTCCCCCACCCCTTGCCCGACCCGGCCCGAAATACTGATCTCGAGCCAAAATGCAAATCTCGCGGAGTCTCGAGTATGGTTCGATGGGGAATCGCAGATCATCACCCCTCTCCGAGTGCAAGGAGCTTCCGCCTCCTGTGGTCGACAAAGTCGGCCTAATCTGTGCCGCACCCCGAACGGGGCGGTTGAAGAGACGAAGAGGGTCCGTCCGGGTGCATTACAATTGTTTTGTTTTGTTTTTCGTGCGAGTGAGCGGGGCTTTCCATCTTTGCCACCTTGATGGTTTGTATCCCTCAGGCTGCTGTTTTCATGCACCACAGCGGGCATCTCGGACGTATGCGGTCTCTCTGCCAGTTAGTGTTGGACACCCTTACGCGTCACTCATTGCCTAAAACGTGCACGGACAGCAACAATCAATCATGGTTGCTCTCGTTCATTCGCATGTAGTTCGGAATAATGTTGTTGCCCCGCTCTTAATCACGGCTCCAAGTCTAGTACAGCATAGTCTAAGGGGGAAACGCCTACCCGTTCGGTTTTCCACCGAGTAATCTCGTCGCCTTCCCGCCCACAGCTTCTCACAACGCTGATCTCACCTCTCTGATCCCCTTTGACGTGCCCAGAGAACAGGAACGAGGATTTACCTGTCGCGTTTCCAATCCACCACGTCAAACACGTCTACCACTCGGTTCTTCGCGCCCGTTCACGCTAAACCCCAGTAGATATCGGTCGAAGGATCCAACACATGGTCGGGGCTCCCCAGCCCCATGTGCTTGTTGATGCCGCTTCCCAAGCCAGGAAGCCGACGCCTCGGGGTTCATATGTCCCGACATGTAAGATTTTGGATGCTTGGCTTCGACGGGAGAGCCAGTGCTCGAGCGGTGAAGAAGGTGCGTCAAAAGTCAAGTCCAACGAAGAGACTTGATACGACTTACGTCCCGCCTGGGGCACGTCGTTGCTTTGGCACGAGTTTTTGAGTGACATGGAGAGGTATAGGGAGACCGAAACGATGTTGACAAGGCCGGATTGATGTGGCACTCACACCGAACGCGTGCCTGTAACCACGGCAATTGACGACGTCAAGTGGTAGATCAGCACGGGGAGGTACTGGGCAGAGCGCATTGCGGTTTATATTGTGAAGTTGCGAAGACAGCAACAACCAACCACAACCTTAACGAAGGATGCTAGGCACAGCAAGGAACGGGCGAGTTCTTGGCCCACCTCGCGCACATAGGGGTCCAACACAAAATCATTAAATTCGCAGGAAGAGCGAAAAAGAACGACCAGAGAGACAGAGGGAGACAAAGGCATAGATATGTAGATGGGGATGGAGCGAGAGGCCACACCACTGCCACTGCACACGCTCACACCTCACCCAAAACCACCAGTCAGCCGGTTACTGGCAGCGCCTGGAAATAACTGACGTCTGGGCCGTTCTCTCAGTAAACTCTTGGCTGTATATCTCGCCACCCACGACGCTGATTCACAAGCGGGTCGCTGCAGTGAATGAGTGCTCCCCTGCCGGCGCTGTTCGAGAGGATGTCAACATCATCATCCAATCATACGCCTAGAAAGAAGGGGTACTTCGAGCAACCAACATGTAGAGAGAGGGGAAGCGGTAAACGAGACCAGGGAATCCCATTTAAAAAACGTGACAAGAGGTGGTGCTGCCTAGAGGCCGGCGCCTGTGATGATGTATGCAGTGAAAGATCCCGCCTACTGCTGCTGCCGCTGTGTGCTACTGCTGGTGCATGATGAATTCTCAACGGCAAATAGAGCATCAATCTCTGATCTGTCTGATCTCTGTGTTCCCCATGTCGTTCCGCACTACACTACCATACACAGCAACAGCAGCAGATGCAAGAGTGAAGTGTAGTTAGTGCCAGCGCGTCAGTGTGTCAACCTCTGTTGTTGTTGTGCCTCGCTTGGTTGGTCTTGGTTGGTCCGCCTCCGAGAGATCATCAGTCCAGCCAGACCCAAGAAATGAGAGAAGGCATGTTTCTTTCTGCCCCCCCCTTTTTTTGTGCAGCTGGCTCGCTGGCTCGCTGCCCTCTCCCATTTGCCCCTTTTCCCCACAGCTCAGGCGAGACGGAACTTTACCAGGGCAGCTCATCCGAAGAGCACATCCTCCAGAAGGCAGAACCTTGGCATTCACGTGGTTTGATTGGCGCACCGATCGTGGTTCCACCAGCGCATGAGCGTCACTATCCCAACCAATCAACACGTTCCACGACTTGGTCCCTTGTAGCGTGGTGATCTCCAGCGGGTCGAGGAGACGAGCAGCCGGGATCACCCCCACGGCCGTATCTTCCTGTCCCCCTTGGTGAGAGGCGGTCCTGTGTAATGTCCGGGTCTGGTTGAATCAGAGTTAGGCTCGTTTTTTCATTTGTTGACAAGGAGAGTGGTGTCCGACCCGGGACGGTTGTTCCAGGATTGTGAAAAGTGTCCCAAAAATCATGGAACTGTTCTGGAAAACTCAGTTTGTGATCAGCGTGCATAGGCATGCGGTAGACATCGGCGGTGATGAAACCCTTGTAGCACTGGAAAGTTCACTACCCTCATAATGCGTTATTGTCTGGAACTGTTCGTCGAATCAAGCATTCCTCCCAGTGCAGCACGGTAAGCCTGCTTAGAGCGGGGCAAGCCCTTGACGCACGTCTCAAGTACGCATGGGACCACCTGATTCTTCTTGGCGAAATGTCTGTACCCTGTGTTTGCTCCTGCGCATGCATGCGTTCCTACGGATACGTGCAGCACGGGTTTGGAATGTTTACTAAGTGTAGTTTCCCATTGTCTGGAGGGCCAACATGCTTCACTTTGAGAATACCAGACGGCTTGGAATCTCCCGAGCGCACTCAGCTGCTAGTGCCCAACGTGGAAGGACACGTGCCATTTGCCGAGCCGCGTGCACAGATGGGTTTGAGGTTTTCATGTTCCCTGGTTGGTTGCATCAAGGCACCCTGAGAGAACAAAGACCCAACATTGGGTGCACCTCTTCTCGGCAGCACTAGGCGAGCGGAGTTTTATACTGACCGACAGCTGAGTTCCACAAAGCCGATGTTGGTCGTATGCCGGTCGCACCATTGCGCACGAAACTCTCCACCATGTTCTTGTGTAGTTTCGACATACTATACCGCGCGAGAACCCAAGGCGAAAGCAGGTAGGCGACAGCAGACGTAATTTGGAGCCACTTTCTAGGGCTCTTTCTCCCCACACACCAATCGCGGTTGTGGTGGCCCCCGTTTCACGGAGGCTTTTTCCCTTGAAGAGCCTAATCGTCTGGTCTGTTTTGGGGGCTGCTCAATGTAGTCAGAAGCAATGGATATGTCCCTCTTCTCCCCTCCCTTGCATCCCCGCCGTCGCCGTCGCTACAGGCAGGCCGACGCGATATGGCGGCGGCAAGAGAACGGTTGACAGACACTTCGGAGAAGCTTAGGGTCGCGTTCGCCAGCCTTCATGCCGTCGATGAAGAGGTCGTGGCTCGTACGACTGGTGTTGGCGTTCTCCCCCTATCCCAAGCTACTACGAGGGTATCTCAAGCAGCCGGCACGGCGAAGACCGTGGCACTCACTGTCTTGAAGGCGGCGGAAGCAGCAGAGGAAGCGGCCACCACAGCGGCGGCGGCGGCGGTATCGGCGGCCCAAACAGTCAAAGCAATAGCTGCTGCTAAATCGGAAGCGGCGAAGGCGGCGGGCGAAACAGCAGAAGCCGCCAAAGCTGCAGCAGAATCCACCAAAGCTGCAGCAACGGTAGCCTTGAAATCAGAAATTGACCCTCCGATCTTGAGGGACAGGTATTGACATGAATGGCTTGTTTTCTCAGCAATTTTTGTACCTTCGTCCTGTGCTGCTTGTTTGTCTGCCCAATCTATGCTGAGCCCTTTTTTATTCACATCCTTGTTTTGTTTATGGTGTCTACGGGCAAGACGCTAATTCACATGCGTCGGCTTGTCCGTCGAATAGTATATGAGAGGTTTCTGCGAGAGTCCAATGCGCTACCCTGTGACTGACCCTGTACCACCTGACTGTTCGGGCTGTTTCGAACACCTCTTTCTGGAGAAGGCCGAGTGGCGACAACAGTGGCAGCAACGGCGCATGTGAGAATAGGGACGGGAGTATACACACGAGCGGGTAGCGAGGGCGTCATTTGGCCCTGGTGCTGAATTTCAGTTCGTGCTCTATGAGTTCAGCTGGTTCCGCCGTGTCACCCAAGTTTCGTCTCTGCGATTCCTCCACCACCTTTGACACCACGTTGCCTTGTTTGTTGCAATACATGTCATGTTGCCCACAGGCTCGATGTCGGCTGCTGGTATGAAATTCGAGACTGGCGATATTTCTGTGGCAATCAAGGTGCGTCTTGCGTGCCACATCGAATGATGTACTGTGTGACTGCGTTTATGTCGGAAAATCAGCTTTCTCCCCGCACCTGCTACGTACGCATGATGAGAAATCAGAATATACAGATCGAATATCGCCACTAACCTGCTGCTACGAACATCGTCTTGTTCTGGTGTGAATCACGTTCACGCCTGTCGGATTTCCGTCGAGCAGCATGGCGAGTCAGACATGCCAGAAAGTGAAGAGCAGCGATGCGTCTCACCACACGACGCCGAAGATGGAGAAGAGGAGCACGAGTCATTATACGACGGCGACGTGGCTTCCGAGGTTGGAAACGCCGATTTTGGAAGCGCCGATCAGGAGAGGCAGGAGGAAGCCGAGGTGGGTGTTCCAGGGTGTCTAGCTGTTTTGTTTGGGTTCGGGATATTATTGAGGTGATTGCCTCGACGACCCGCGGGCGTGCTCAACGTCTTCACGAAGTCGCTTGGAAATCGCGAAGCTGCTCACTCACAAGTCCGCCCATTCCGGTTTGGCAGAGGATATGCTACCACCCACACAAATCAGAAGGTCCAAACTGTGCTCGATATAGGCCGTTGCAGCTCTCCGTCACGATTTCGCCACTCTTCTTGTCATGGCAAAGGGGCTACTGATCCGAGCCGCCCGTGTTTGGCCAGCCTAGGCTGATGAGAGGCTTCGCGGAGGCGGAGAAGCGCTCTTTAACCGGACGGGCTTTCGAGACTCTCGAGCTTGTGAATAAGCTTCCCTCGCACTGCCAGCCTGCAGATTTATTGTTGTAGCGCCTTGTAGCTAAGGATCACTCTAAGGGACACGAGAAATTGGTCCGGCGGATTTTTTCCGTCCGTGGATTCGACAAAAGACGTATCTCTCACCACATCACCGCAGCGTGCTCCCTCGGTGACGGTCAGATCGCCACGAAACCTTGAAGGCTGTACGCACCTCACCTGTAGGCGTCTTTGGCGCTTGTGGTGACTGCTGTGGGGTCTGTGTGTGCCGAGAGATGTTTATCCATGTGAGCAAAAGCAAGAATTCGTATGGAGATTTCGCCCATGGAAGTTACCCCTATTTCCTGTGTAGAATCGTGGACGGAATCCCCACACGGATTCTTGCTGTTACTCACATGGATTAACATCTCTCGGCACACACAGATTTCACAGCAGTCACCACAAGCGAAGTCAAAGACGCCTTCAGGTGTGGTACGTACAGCCGTCAAGATTTCGTGGCGATCCGACCATCACCAAGGGAGCAACTCTGCAGTGATGTGGTGAAAGTTCGGTCTCTAGGTCAATCTGAGCCCCATCCGTGTGTGGCGGGTATGCCAGTCCAAAGTAATCCGCTGGCGCAATTTGTCTTGTCTCACAAGAGTGAGCCTAGCTCATCATGCGGTGACCGTGTTTTGTTGGATACCATCTGCAGGGCGCCCTCGGGATCGATGGTGGAAAAGAGATGGAAGTGGAGGAGGAGAACGGCGAGAGGGAGGAGCAACCGGAGGAGGAGGAGGAGGAGGAGGAGGAGGAGGGGGACGACGAGGAGCACGGCCAAAACGTAGGCAGCTTGCGTTCATGTATACGTGCAGAGTTGACGTTTTTGATGCTTGTCGCACCACACTGCTAGCCTGTGGAGAGAGCGTGCATCTTGCTCATCTGCTGGCATCTTGCATCATCGTCGGAAAAAACTGCGTTGGGAATGATCGTTTTTCTCGATTCGATTTAGGGCTACACCTTTGTGCACCGGGATAGATCCATCACGTTCTGGCCAGTACTTGTCGTAGCAAAGACTCATTTTGTGTTCTGTCTGAGGATTGTCTTCGTACCTAGATCCGTGTCTTCTATGTCCGCTCCCTATCAAGAACCGGTGTTGTGATACATAACCACCTTTGGGTAGCAAGACCGTGGATGACTGAACGGTATATGATTCTCTGGTGGATCTGACATTTTCGTGTAGTTCCAGAGTCATGTTTTGAACATGGTTTCTGCGGCGTCAACGAGACCCATCATTTGCTGTTGTCGAATGACTTTCTGCAGGCAAGGCGAGGCAAACGCAAGCTCGGGGGTACAGCCAAGGCCCCCCGCCGGTACAGCCTACGGACTGCTGGCAGTCGGCGACCCAACTACGCTGAAAGGTGAACAGGAGTGCGAGACAAAGGTGTTCGAGTATGGAGTCCGCACTAGGGTGAGGGGGTGGACAGCGGGAAGTTACGATTGTTCAGGGTTTATTGTTAAGTCTCGATGATACATGGTATATATCCCACTTCAACCCCTCCCTTTGGCGCTCATCGGTCGGACACAAGAGGTGCGTCTGCCGACTGATGATGGAAGTTCGCCTTGAGAGGAGAGCTCCATGAACCCTGACGTAACGGAAGCATCTTCTCGGTGAAAGGACCGTTCGTACGAACTCTATCGCCGGCGACTAGCAACTGTTGTCCGTTCACCACACCTGCTAGATCTTGGTTTGTCGACATACGCCAAATCCCGGACAAAACGAGCTGCACTGTTGTTGAGCCTTTCATCACCAATTCATCCCCTGTTGTTTCCATGAACTCGTTCGGACGGACGCTGGGTGGCAAGATAGCGGCCGCGAGCACGAAGGTGAGAGTAGGGTCGGGAGAGGACAGTGAGGTCTGGGATGATGGACGTAGGAGTGAACGTCGTTGTTGCGGTCTTTACTTTTCCAGTTTCTGCTCAGTCCCCTCTAGCATATTTTTTTGTCGTCGGCTGAGGCGGACGCCTGGCGTGGTCCGAGGCACTCTACCGACAACGGGTACCATGTGTATCATGAAAAATCAAACAACCACACGAAGACCCAGAAATATCAACAAAACTGTACAGTATTCCAAGCCGGAAGGAGGCCCCTAATCGGTAAGGCTTCGCAGCGAGTGACATACCGGACAAAGGCGATGAAAACTGATGTATTGATCCGACTGTTGCCATCGACATGCGAGACTGAGGACAGAACAACCTACATCACCCAAATGTCTCCAATGGCGACCAATAATCTCGCACGATTGTATACTTGCCACGCCACTAGGCCGGCGTGTATTCACCGCCGTGTTTTGCACCTGGCACTGGCCATGCGACTTGCCGACACATACCTGCCAACATGTGTTGTAGGAGCTTCGACACCAAGGGACACGCGATACGTGCCCACTGGAACACCGAACGAGCAAGACCTATTGTACTCCACAAAATAGGCTAGGCACGTGTGCGACATACTTCGCTATTGAAGCTGCAAGGAGGGTCGATGTTCTCGGTATTATTGCATGCATGATCCCATGCCGAAGTCTGAACAACCTTTGAACCGATGTTGCTATTCACCTTTGATGCCATTCTGCACACAGACGCCATGCTATCCTCTACTTCAGACGTCGAACATGGTGATGTTCCTGTGGCAGTCGAGGTGAGCCTTTCATGACGTTGGATGCTACGCGCGTTTCGACCTTGCTTGGTGGAGGAAAGTTTGAATTGTATCCCAACGTACGGATGAGAGCGCCACCGCAAGACGTGGTAATCCTTCAAAAATTCGCTTCCCGAGTACGATGAACTAGGCCCGGTTCCTCCTTTCACCGCCGGTGAAAAGGTCAGGATACATAATTCTCTCCCTTCGTTGTTCTCCCCCCCCCGCCCCCCCGAATCGGGGTTGGGTTTTGGTCGCTTGGCAACGACGTTGTAAACCAAGCCGGTCACTTCGTGAGCTCGGCAACAAGGGTACCGTTTGTTTTTGCCTTTGTATTTATTTTGCCTTACCCATAATGGTTGGTCGAGTAGATGATGTGGTGCAGGATCGAGAGCACTCACTCCGCGCAAAGGAGATTATTGCACCGTGTTGTGTTAAATTGGTCCAAGCACACTCGAGGCAGTTACACAGTGCTTACAACTGTCTCTGGAAGTGAAAGCACAATAAAATATAGTCATTCGCAGCTGTCGTTCGTACGCAACGAAGTAAGCACCCTATGCCGAACACCCTTAGCAGGATGCAGCGCACCCTCGCCGCGACTCGCCGAATACCCCACCGTGCTTCGCGCTTGGTGTTGTGGGAGCCTGGTCCGGTGAGAACCCGGCGTGCTCCCTCCCGGCTTTGTAGGAATGAGTGGTCAATGGTCTAACGACTACGGCATGCACTACTATGAGTGCCCCCCTCCCCCCCCCCTCGTTGTTCCGCCTGGTACTGCGTCCTCGTTCTGCTCGACGTCGTCGAAAGCCCATCCGCGAGAGAGACGATGCAGAGGTGGGGGGGGGGGAGGAGGATGAGGAGGGCGAGGAGGTAGGCCGACAATGGTTAGTGATGTGCTCGCCCTCTTTCTAGGGTCGACAAGTTTGACTACAGAGCGTGTGTACTACCTTCAGCAAGTGGCATTTATTTGATGTAGGGTTGACCATTGGTTAGGTCTGGACCGAAACAAACCGTTCGCTCTCATTCAAGATTGGCCAATCCCCTGTTAATATGGATGAATCAGGGCAAAACACACCGCCTCGAAGCTATTACTGGTTCAGGTTCTCGAGCACTTTGGGAATGATGTCTGAGAGCTGTTTGGCCAATTTTCCTCAAGCTTGCATCTCCTTTACCTCATCCTTACCGATGCGATTCACCTATCACGCGTTCTTGTTGAGGTATTGCGTGTGAAGGGTGGTGTTCATGCCGATTCCGGCGTAGACCACGCGCCGTTCAATTAACGACGTCGATAAGGCTGCCAACTGCTCGATGATCGGACACGATGTTCTCTTCAGTGGTGGCCACTGGACCCGATGTGGGAATCACCCGCTTGCAATTCTGACCATTGGGAGGTGTCAGCGCCCCCTTGGTCCTCATTTCAAACCAAAGCAGCCTATATTTCTTCTACCAAATTTGTGCTACCCTGCTTGTCCTACGAGTTCCAAGAGGTCCGATGGCCATGCATCTAATACAGGACTGACTGCCGACGCCAGCGCAACTATCGTTCTGGACATTTACCCAGAGTAGTAAGAAACCTAGTTTGTTGCTCAGTCGGCAACAAGTTGTCAACATCTCTGAACACACACCAGCTTGTGTGAGCTTGTCGGTCCACGCCACTGCTACACCGAGTCGGCAGCCCTCCCTGGGTGCCACCGCGAGCACTCACAAACAGTGATATTCTTGAAAAGAACGGTTTCAGGATCCAACAGGCGAACCGATTGGAACACATGCACTGGCGCTTTCATGTAGAGCCTCAACAGCTATGACTCACATGGACGGTCGCATGTACGCGGGGGATGCGGCTGTTTTTACCGTGTTAGCGTTGACTCGGTAGCTGCGACGCATGCCCCTCGCAAGGATACCCCCCAAAACAATGGCATTTCACAACGAGTGGCGAGAGCAGACCGAAAACACCACTTTATTTCGTGAAGTCTTCCGATTCGTGAACACAGGCATGAATCCCACGCTGGTACATGAATCGGTTGTCAGCTAGTACCCCACCCGTGCATACCTCCTTTGGGTACCGGATTCATTTTCTAGGGCTCGCTCGGCTTTGAACGACATTTTGTAACTATGTGTCGCTCTCCCACTCGCACGTGCGCCCTGAGTGGAGCCCTCAGATTCGAAAGTATGTGTTTGGGTGCGGTAGCTCGTCAGAGGCCGAAAGAGAGAGAAGGCTGACTCAAGACCTTGGGTGCTTAGAGAGTGAGACACATGCGGTAGGCCACACCATCGCCATCCAGCATGTCCGTCAACACGTACCATCCGCGTATCCCCCGGAGGCCCCGTAGACGCTATACTCTGCCGAGTACCCAAAACAGTATGCCAGCGTTTTCCCCGCAATACTGAGGTCTAGTTCTTGATCATGCAGTATGCGCGGTCGATACGTTGCCTCCGACGCCCGGCACGATACTTTCTATTTCTTCATTGTTTCTATTTTCCCGTGTAGAGAGAACCCATTGATACCCCTTGTTGATCGAAGTTCGATTGGAAATCTCAATCGAAACACCCCCTGGGCGTTCTCTCTAGCTTTGTTCCCTCTGTAACGTTTTGTACGTATGTCGTGGTGGCCGGTACCCCTCTTACGAGTGCAGTACACCATAGCTGGACCACACTCGTTTCATCCACGGACAGTCCGTGTGCATTTTTTGGAGTGAGGAGAATGGAAGGGTGACACGGTACAATCTCCGAACCCAGGGTTTTCTAGCTTGGTATCGCTTTTGCCACCGGCTGCCGTTTCATCCCCCTCATGTTTTTTATTGCCCTCGCTTGGGTAAAACTCGTATGCGGTGGTCAGCCTCACACAAGAAGAGCCGTCCAACCGCCAACGGACGGCCTCCGAGCCGGGAAGACGAGAGCAAAGCGGGGGCAGTGAGGCGACCGCAGCACCGCAAACGGTAAGTTCCGCTGAAACGTTGTCGTTGTTGTAGTCTCTCCCCACGTCAACATTATGATGGTACAGTTTTCGTGTGCATACCGTGCTTTGTTTGTGTAGCGCCACTTGCACAGGACGTTGAATGATGACAAATGTTGTAAAGTCCGGCGCTAGGCTCGGCAGGGTAGCGGCTGGAAAGCACGTCAGCAATACACGGCTGGCGGCATCGACCCAACGGCGTTGAGAGTATATCGACCACGGTTGAAACTCTAGTGAATCCATGCCAGTGTTTATTGGCGTTGTTTTAGGCGGCCACACAACTCGTTTTGAACCATCGGGGTTTGGGTGTGCTAGGCGAAACCCCGAGGTGGATACATGCATTTTTGGTGAATTTTTATTGACTATTTGTAGCGGCCAAGTCACTCACAAATGCAGTGGCCTCGCAACTTTCGCATTGCTGAATGTGGGCAGCAAAATTGTGAGGACCGTCTTTCATTCATGAACCTTGGTCCCGATGGTGAGCGTGCTCCTTGACCCTACACGAAAACGTGGGTGAAGATACCGCGAACTGACCCGTCCGAGGTAGACAGCAGTGATCGGTCTACCTGATGCCGGACTCGTGGCCGTGTCTCGTGTCGCACAGCCATGTTGGTTCCATTCGGATTTCCCATAGGTGTATTGGCGCGAACCAAAAGCCATGCATGGTGCGATTGTATTGGAGAAGGGGGGCAGGGTCTCGCATAACCCGATGAAACCTGTTTTCTCGGCAACACATGACGTGCGCTGGGACGCGGTGGTCCGAAATTGTTGATCAGCACCTTTCAGGGAAGGTGCCATCGAGGAGTCGACTTCAAGACAGATGGAAAACAACAACAGACAGCCAAACGTTTCGTCATTGTCGCTCTCCTGTGAGAAGCAAGAACAAAATTAAACGTCCACCCGCGAGCTCGGCGGACGGAAAGTGTTGAAGTGACAAAAAAACGCAGTGCATACGACAGAATCGGGAAGGACAAGTCTGAACAAGCTAGAAATACGGCAGGAAAGCATACACTGTACCACGACATACTGCTTATATTTCCTGCTTCTGCCCAATGTAGCTCACCTAAGAATTCCTGCGTCCGACACCTGTTTGGTCGGCCGTGTCAACACTTTCCGCAGTCAACGCCTATGATCGCCAGACGTCATGGACAGCAGTGGCGACCGTGTTGTAAGGAACACGGCTGCACGAAATGGCCGTCGTACGGCGGCGCCGGCAGCAAGAAGGTGGAGTTCTGCGCTCAGCACGCGAAGAAAGGAATGGTTAACCTCCGTAGCAGAAGATGCGACCACCCGGGATGCATGAAGCAGCCGTCTTATGGTAGAACCGGCAGCAACAAGGTGGAGTTCTTCTCTCAGCACGCGAAGAAAGGAATGGTTGACCTCCGTAGCAGAAGATGCGACCACCCGGGATGCATGAAGCAGCCGTCTTATGGTAGAGCCGGCGGCAAAAAGCGCGAGTTCTGTTCTCTGCACGCGGAGGAGGGGATGGTTCGCCCTGATAGAAAATGCGGGCATCCGGGATGCATTAAGCAACCGTCGTATGGTAAAGTCGGCAGCATTCTTCGTGAGTTCTTCTCTCCGCACGCGAAGAAAGGGATGGTTAGCCTCCGTAACGGGAGATGCGGGCACCCGGGATGAATGGAGCAGTCGTCTTTTGGTAGAGCCGGCAGCAAGAAGCGCGAGTTCTGTTCTCGCACGCGAAGCAGGGGATGGTCCATTTTCGATTCAACAAGCGCCTAGAAACAGGAGTCATAGTTTGAGGCATAGCCACGTGCTGTCTGCAAGGTTTTTGGTTCCTGTTGAACGATGTGGGTGCACTACTGGTAACCGCTACAGGTTCACGTGCTGGTCTCGGTTTTCTTGGCACCCAGCGTAATATCGAGAACAATAGCGTTGGTCAATCTGCACGTGGGTGTGAGGGGCCGCCCACGGCAAGGCGGGACGTCCACCAATTGCGTAGAATCGTGGAAGAATATTCCTTGAAAACATCAGATTGGCCCATGTTTTTATGGGGGCGACGATATGAAGGCGATTGTCATCTAGGCAAAATATCGAATGGAACGCAAACATTTTCCATGGACGGTGTGCACGGACAAAACGTACAGGCGCAAGAGAGTATAGCGGGTCGGTATGCCAGCATTGCCACCATACGTGAGATTGTCGTTTGACTTGAATTCAAGGCACGTTTCATGGGAGAAAAACAGACATGATTTCATCGGCGCGACAGAAATGCCTGGGTTTGAGAATGCATTCTTCGGAAAGACATGGTTGTAGCAGTAATAGTCTATTTGTTCGGACATGGTCGACAGCGTTTAGGAGTGCATTTGACGGACATGGTTAACAGCGTTTCAGAACGGACATATTTTTTGCCAGCAGAACCCCTACGTTGCAATTGGGGAAAGTTTCTTCCAGTTACTGCCAATATTATTTGATCGTTGTGTACGGCACCTCGACAAGTATCGTCGCGTTGCCTGTCTGAAGCTTTCGATTTTTGCAGCTGGTAACAATCAAGGTAGACACCAAGACGACGCTCGATGAGCACACAGGAACCGGAACCGGGGGACCCCAAAAAACACGGATATCGAACGATGAGACTGAAGCTATTGTAAAGCTTCAGAATTCCATGCAGTTCCTCCCTGTTGTCCACAAACCTGTTACCTATCTAACTCAACCGCTCCAGATCAATGTACACAGAGTAAAGACCTCTGCGAAGGGCCCGGGTAGTTAGCCCCTCTCTCCGTGTGTAAGCACTACTGTAAGTAGTCAAGGAGATGACTTGTGAACACTGCTCGTCTCACAGCACGAACAGCCTCGCGTTCTACAACACTTCGGCCGAGAACACCAAGGTACGTCGTAACTCCAGTAACCTCTCAGCTCTCGTCCGTAACCGCCTATTGCATCGAAGCTTGTGTCTGACAGTACCTCTTTTCTTCTGGGCGTTTCATAGCAGCGCAACAGGGGGCGCTCAACGACTCGCCAGCCGCAAGGAGCTCCTCGTGTATCGCCCACCTCCCAAATTCTAGAACGTCATGGAGCGCTCTTCCGATTATAGCTCTCTACTACAGTAGGTGGTTCTGTATATTGTTTCGTGACGAGCGCCGGCTGGAAAGATTTTACATGGAAGAACATCCAACGAAGTTCCTCCCAGCTCGTATCACATACGCGTCAAATTCGACATTACACAGGACAGTGGTGGATATTTCAATCTAGCAAAACGAAACACAGCAGTCATTGCACTCAAGCAAACGACCACGCCAAACCACTGCCACACGAAGCGATGCGGCTGCTGTCGCGACTGTACAAACCGACAGGGAGCGAATAAGCTCACCACTAGCAAAGCCGCTTCAAGACTACCAGCCGAGGTCTGTTGATGCCCTCTCAATTCAAACAGACCAATCAATCGAGACACGGACCAACGGCCAGCCCAAGGCAGTGCATTAAAACGTAAAACGAATGCCGCCTCTTGTTTGCTGGCAACGTTCCTATTCGTCGGCCCCCTCGCGTGTGCTCGAAGGCCGAACGAACATCAAGCGCAGAGCATCCAAGCGAAACAAAGGATGGACAACAGTCTACGGGTAGACAAATACACACTGTATGCACGAATGAGTGCCGGCTGGATGCCGCCCTGTCAACGTGAACAACAAAACTAGCAACGGAATGGGAATGCATGGCAGTATGTTTGCCGACTGGAGCCTACAGTGCAACTCGCACGGGTGAACTACGCTTCTTTCCTATCAAACCTGCGACACAGAACCCTGTGCGGAGAAAATATGGATCATGTCGGGTACATCAAGCGCAACAGATATGTTTACATGTGACAGCGTGTTCGGAGGGCACCAGCTGAATTCCCGAACTAATACACGCCCAAAGCAAGGGTGCCTCACGTGCTTCTGATGACTGCACGGAGCGCGGAAGAGGTGGGACCATGGTATCGACTTCTTCGGGCTGTAAACTTCCGCCCTTAACGAGAAAAACAAAAAGGCGTGCTTCCCTTCACCCCCCTCACGTGAAACTACCTCACTCCAACCAGAGTCGTTCGGAGAGACACAGGCCTGCTGCTCCTCGTTCTGCCAAGCCGCGACCTGATCGCCATCCTCGGCGTGCGGTGCTACGTACTCATTAACAAACCCGCAAAACAGCCTGGAGCTCACGAGTCTAGACCTCGGAGGGGGGGGCGTTTCGTCGGCAACAAGTCCCAGAGGGGGGTACGCCACCGAAACACTTCCAGAGCCGAAAATTATTGCAGCGGGTGTTGTTCACAGTACAGCGACGGCTCACCGGTGCCCGAAGCAAACCGGCAAAAGTCCCAACATATCGATGATTGCTGCTGCCTAACAGCACGCACCGCCGCGCGTGCACGCCTGACAAGCAGCGGGAGAGTGACTGGTAGGACTCATATCATCTAAGCGGTGGTGCATACGTACGGTTATCGGCTCTCGGCGGCTGCCAAGATTCGCGTACTTGTAGAGGCCTCTGCTGTTGGACTGGCGCCACGGTCAGCGGTAGCGCCTGCGGCCGTCGACTCTTTCGACAGCTCCAACGCGGACGACAGGAAGTTTCCCGTGGCCTGAACGGGAAGACGGGCGGACACGACCAAACGAAAGGGCGCCAGGAGAGCAAGGGGCGGGCGGGGGGGGGGGGGGGGGGGGGGGGGTTAAGGGGCCCCCCCCGGCCCCGGGGTTTCCCCGCCCACTTGCCCAAAACCCGGGGGGGTTTAAACTTTCCCATTTTTTACGCGCCCCCCCCCTTTGCCCGGCCGCCCCTTTGGCCCCCCCCCAAGGTTTCCCCCCCCCCCCTTTGTGGCCCCCCCGGGCCCCCCCGTTTTTTTTTTTTCCCCCTTAACCCCCCCCCCCCCCCGAGCCCGGGGGGGTAACCCTGGGCCTTATCGTTTTCTTTTCCGGGTTCCCCCAACCCCCCGGGGGCCCCCCCCCGGCCCCTCAAACCCCCCCCGGGGGCCCCCGGGCCCCCGGGGGGGAAACCAAAACCCCTCCTCTTTT